TATATATATATATATATATATATATATATATATATATATATATATATATATATATATATATATATATATATATATATATATATATATATATATATATATATATATATATATATATGCAAGCTATAAATTAAAGAAAATACTTGCAGTGTGTTTAATATGTTACAGTATATTATAAATAAATAAATAAACAAATAAATCAGTAAATCCATTTCAAGTAAATGGAAAAATTTTACTCGACACAGACATTAGTTCCAGTTACCGGTAAATAGCAGACGCTTCAGTGACATCACTAGTGTTTACACTACACCAGCGGGTAACATTTGATGACATTACTTGAAGTGAATTGGCCTTATTTTAAAAAACCAAGGATGGTTGGTAAAGGACTACTGAGTCAGTGGGTAAGTGTCACATTTGGGGTACTGGTCTTATACAGCGAATAGAGCTCAAAAGCTACTTTTTAAATGGAAATTTGGGGGGGCCGTCTTATGCACCCCGACGCCTTATAGGCCGAGATATACGGTAAGTCATTTATGTCCAATGTATATTTTCAGCCTTCGGCCGCAAACTTTTTCAATAAACCATTTATTATTATTATTATTATTATTATTAATGCTTTGAATGAAACATGCGTACACACTGAATATTAAATTTTCCTGTAACAAAATTATGACTGGGAAGAATACATAATTTATCCCTGTCATAAGCATAATATCAACATTATGGGAGCAAAATAATTAGCATTGTTGCTTATGTATATAAAGTGCACTTTTCTTACCTCTGGACTGGGATCATCCATAATGTCAGATGAAGGGCTGGCAGGTGAGGTAGCCATATTGGTGGTCAAGGGGAGAAGCAGGCTGTGAGTGTGGCAGAGGTGATGCAGAAGACGCTGGGCTGGTTAGTGAGGAGAGAGACAGGAGTGGAGGGAGGTCGGAGGGGTTGGATCTCGGCATTAAAAAAAATTATTGGCAAATGTTTGGCTTTTATTTTCTTCTTTTTTTTTAATTTCTTGATAAGGTTGTGAAGCACTCTCGATATTCTGCTTCACTTTGATGGTTAAGTCCATTGATGGGTCATTCATAAATCATATGTTAAATTTTTGGCAAACCTGAATATATCTGCCATCTTATGTAGAGTCCAGTTATTATCTTAAGTATCTTCATCCACACATATTATCCTCCTCTTCCTCACTCCTGGCAAGCTCCTCTAAGTAGTCCTCACTCAGTTCCTCTCCTAGTGTCTCACGCATCTCCACAACTTATTCCAGGACTAGTTAAAAAAAACCGTCCCCTCCAACGTCTTGTGCCAACTTCACGATTTTTTAAACTTTACCACTAACAGAAGGAAACCCTGTGAAGTCATTCACAGCTTCCTTCCAAAGAGATCGCCAACACACATTGATGGTCGCTAGAATTGCTCTCAGATGATACTGGCGGGAGATGTGGGAGAACACAACCGGGTCGGATGTAGCATGACGCCATGATGTGACATCGTGGAGGACACCCGTGGTTTTTAAAATAAGCACCTTACCTTTTTATGTTATTTTAATAGAAAAAAATCTCTGGGGCTTGTTTTGCAGATACAATAGTCAAATACGTGAGGTGGACTTGCATCTGTTGAGGTACCCCAGTTCTCCATTTTATTTTAATATTTTATAGTATACTATAAAACTATAAAATACTGTACTGTACTATATACAGTATACAATACACTTTGACATTATTTGACAATATCCGAATTTTTGAGTTTGAATATTTGTTCGTTTTTGGTTCAAGTTAAAGCAGTAGTGCTAAAAGAGCCCACAAAGGAATTACGTTGGATATAAAACTCCCCTCATGCAGCACTCCACATCATTCGTGGTGAGTTAAATTCAAATGTTTTGTGTACTGTATTATTTTTATTTATTCCTTACATTTACTGGTACATTTGGGCAGTCACCCAGCTGACTCACATGGGGGAGGGACGGAGGGAGGCAGAGTGGCGAGTCGTCTATGCAGTTACAGCTCACTGCCTCCACACACAAGCATTCATTTTCCAAACATACACATAAATGCTAATTTTTCTTATTTTATAGTTTTATATTGTAGTTTCCTATTTTATAGTTTTATATTAGATTTTCTTTATTTATAAGCCACATTAGAGTACTGTATTGTAATGATTTTTTGACAACTTCTATAGTTTCATTATATGTAACAATAAACACTGCAGCTGGCAAGTCGGCGACACAGTTACAATTCCCATACATAAACACCCATACACATTATTTTTCTTATTCTATAGTTTTATATTATATTTTCTTTATTTCTAAGCCACATAAGAGTATTGTACTGATTTTATTTTTTTTCTCAAATGATCACAGATGACGAGTCATAACACGCTGAGCTGGCGAGAGATGGTGGATGGGTTGACTCACACAAGAGCAAGACCCAAGAGTCAGAAATGTATAAGCTACATATAAGTGAGGTTGCGTACTATGGACCCTACCGTAATTATGATCGTATTAATATCATAAAATAATCAATGTCTGTGTTTAAAAATGTTTATTTGAATTAAAAAGTGCCTGTATTACTTCTTTTTGTCGAAAATGGGATTCACGTTTCGGAAATTCATGTTGAGGTCAACTTTTCAAGGACGCACATCTTCCGTATCCTGGGGAATTATTGTATTCAATTATTATCCTACTTCCAATTCACTCAGTACAAAATGTCTTAAAGAACATTATGGGTCTAGCTCTCCCAAGAGGAATAAACACACTGATTATAATAAAATAGTAGAGATGGTGAAAAAGCTTTAACGTGTTGTTTCTGTTTGCTATTGACAGTCCAATTTTGATTGATGTGCGTGGGTGTAATCTTCTGTGCAGTATTGTAGTTCTATATCAGTATACAGTGATATCCCCATTAGCCGGAACAACTGGTGCAGAGCACTTCCGGGAATGAGAAATTTCCGGGTAATGAGACGACTCTCTCAAAGCCGGAAAAAAATCTCTTCTCAACTTACGACAACCCGGACATACGACGGCCATGGTCGCATAAAATATTTTTTCCATTACGTATTTTCGAGTCCCGATGTTAGTGATCGCGCTGTTTACTGACAAAATTTTCGTTTGTAATTCCCTTTAAAATGGCTGGCAGGCGTAAAAATGAGAGTTCTCGTGGTGCCGAGAAGAAAAAGAGACACCCATTTTAGAATTTCTATGTATTATTTTCGCCTTTTCGACTTACGGCCAAATCGGCTTACGACCTGGTTGTCAGGAAGGAACCCCGTCGTAAGTCGAGGAGAGACTGTATATATGTTCACAACAGCATTATTTCTTACTTATGAATGATCATATATGTGGGGTTATATTCTTAAATATAATACTGTGTTGGACAAACTTAACACCTTAAGGAAAAAATAGGGTTAGGGGAAGTAAAAAAAAATGTCCTAACCTAACCTCGTGAGTAAATTTGTATTGTACTGCATGTTCAACACAGTATTATATTTAAGAATATAACCCCACATATGATGATATGACTGTTGTTCTATGTCCTCACAGCATAAGGCTCGAGGTACATATTAATACACTTACCAGCATATGCTATCATTAATAGTGCTATTACTAACACCCAATGAAGCCCTTCTATATCATTCATAAGTACGAGGTCTGTCCAAAAAGAAACAGAACTTTTTAAATAGAGCTCCAACTAGCCAGTGCAGCGTGCTCGCGATGGGAGCACTGTGTAGAGGTGACCTTGACCTTTAGCCTTTAGTCTAACACTAGTCGCATCACACCACGTCAATTAGTCATCGAGCTACATGCGCTAGAGTGAACGTGTGTTTCGTGCACTTGGCGATTTGTTGCAAGTTGAACAATGAAGGATCTTGAAGAGCAACGTGTTTGCGTGAAATTCTGTTTCAAATTGGGAAAAAATTTTAAGGAGACTTTTCAAATGTTGCAACAGGCTTATGGGGAGGATTGTTTGAGCCGTACGCAATGTCACGTGTGGTACCAGCATTTCAAAGGGGAAGAACATCCACCGAAGACGCTCCCAAATCTGGACGTCAGAGTCGCTCAAATGTGGAGGTGATGTTGATCGTCTTTTTTTAATTTGGAAGGGCGTCGTTTATCATGAGTTTGTTCCACGTGATCAGACAGTCAATAAAGAGTTTTACTTGGAGGTCCTGAAGCATTTGAGGGAGACAGTGCGAAGGAAGAGGCCTGAGGTGTGGACAAACAAGACCTGGATGCTGCACCAAGACAATGCACCTGCTCATGCGTCGCTCCTTATCCGTGACTTTTTGGCGAAGCACGAGACGACTATCGTCCCCCAGCCGCCCTACTCTCCGGATTTGGCCCCTGCGGACTTTTTTGTTCCCAAAGTTGAAATCCACCCTCAAAGGTTGCCGATTTCAGACGATAGAAGAAAATTCGTTACGTGACATGCGCACCATCCCTCAAAACACGTTCCAGAACTGGAAAAAATGTTGGGAGCGGTGTATCAACAGTGGAGGGGAGACAAGTCAGATTAAGTTGTAAGTAAAGCAATAAATTTGTTTTTTTTTAAAAGTTTGGTTTCTTTTTGGACAGACCTCGTAAGTAATAATGCTGTTGTGAACATATCTCTATTGGACATGTTATATAAAATTACCTCTCTCTCCCCCCTCTGTACTGTACATTCTTCCCTCTTTTTCTCTCCAGTGAGCGTGTGTCAACATTTAAATTGCCCTCATTTATACCAGCTTCACAAGAAAAAGGAGGCGAGGGGAGGAGCTATGTTTATCCACTTCAGATTACTTTCTGATGAGATCACTTCATAAAGCTGTGAAAATAGAGGTTACATGTTATTTCCCATAAAGATAAAATTATACTATAACACTTTGTACTTATTTACAATGTTCCTTAAGTTAAGAAATCTATATCAGATGAGGTATTGTACAGTACTACCATTAATTACTCCTAGACCAAAATAATAATTCTTCAGCTCTTTATAATACTGGTAGTTAAGTTTAAAATCAGATCTCAAAATGACTTTAATAAAACATTCAAAATGCAATGAAACCATTTTTAACTGCATTTATGTCAAAACACTTAAAGTACATAGGAAAATTCACAGTGATATCATGATGAGCTTTTCATGTTTATATGAAGGCTGAGAGTGAGTTGCTATCATAGATGAGGCAAATTTTTCCGAAAAATATACATTTATTCACAAGAAATTAATAAAAAAAAGATATTGAACATCACCTAAATATCATATTGCCTATCAATCAAACATAAACGACCTTGACTGCAGGGATGAGTATACAACCACAGATAAGGGGTTTGTGGAAATTTAATTAGCTCAATACAGTAAACTTATGAAATAAACAGTAATTTACCATAGATCATGGTTCCCTGTAAATTCTTGATGGAAGTTTTCAATTGAGGCAAGCATCAAAGCCATTTATTTCATAACAATGTTTGGTCAAAATTGCAATACTGTAAAAACTAACTTAATGTAGGACTAGTTTCATGATTTCTCTATATGTATGAACTCTTATACAAAATACAAATAAAATATATTGAAACATATAATTTAAGGGGAATAAATGCTCAATATTATCTGCCACTTATGAATTTAAAAATGAGTGAAAATCTTTGAACATCAAAAAGTGTACTGGTATTACAATAATTAGTCCACACACTTAACAGAAAATTATGTAATTTCTTCAACAAGATATTCATCCTGAACATTACACTTTTGGTTTGTGAATATAACTCAATATCTTGCACCTTTGAGAGTGAAGTCTAAAAAGTAGGTATTATCATAACCCTCAAGTCAGCACTCCATACCTTAGTTCAAGATACTGGAACAGTTACTAGGTATTCCTTCAGTTAAGATCATATCAAATAATAACTAAATACTCAAACAGCCAATGTCTTTAACAATGATCACCTCTGACTCATCAGTAGAGTTGGAAGTTAAATCATCAGAATCAAGACCTGCTTGGTGTTGCCGCTTGCGGTCATGTGCTTGTTGCTTCCTTAACTGCTTCTTTAATTCTTTGCGCTTGGCGTTGGAGATATGCTGAGAAAATAAATGGTATATCAGTGTAAATCTTTATAAACAAATTTAATAATGAAAGCTTGCACCTCAAAAGATTAAAATTAAAAAACAATATATATGTATATATGAACTCTCGGGGTTTTCATGCATATTTTCATAAAAGATTTGAGTCCCATCCTTATATCGTGTCAAAATATTTTATTTAAGGATTTTTATGGAAACAGTCTTGTAGAGAATTTATTGAGGATCATTAGGGTACAATACCAAATCCATCTCTCTAACACAATTAGAACAGATGTTGGGTACAGTATACAGGAAAGCCTCCGATAACGACGGTTCTACTAATGACGAATCACATTTAAAACCCTGGTTAATTTAGGACCAAATTTAATTTACACCGTTATTTTTATTCGTATTTACGACGAAAATAGAAATATAAAACAAAAACATGCCTTGTGCACGGAGGCTGCCGGGCTTGTGAGTGGTGACGCCAGCATCACTAGTATAAACAGTCACAGCTTGTAGGGCATTTTGTTTTCACGCATCTGAACAGGAACAGGAGAAAAACTTTCTTGGGTTTCATACATAATTTTTGTGTCCCTATTCAACATGAGCAAGAGAGATAAAAGAGAGTGTATAAGCTTAGCTGAGAAACTATATGTGTTAAAACCAATATGAAGAAGGTGAGAGGTCTGTGGATATTATATGGATCAAGCAATGAACATATTTTCTGAAGTGGATCCATTAACAGAACAAAGCATTAAAATTAACAGAGACTTGAAACATTCATGACTCCTACATAAAGATGTATGAGAAAAAGAAAATAGCTGTGGAAGGTTCTTGACACAGTTTTATTATTCGAAGGCCCTAACTGTCAACTTCAACTACAGCTACACCAACAACTACATCATCAACTTCAGGTTCAGCTACACCATCAAATTTAGCATCAGCAGCAGTTTCAGCAACAAGTTGTT